ATTTTTCTCTCATATAGAGACGTCACCATATACCGATGAAGGGCTTCAAATTTTGACCTTTACTCGGCACTCAGGGCCATTGAGCAGTGAGGGATCTTTATCGTGCCAAGGCAAGCCGTGACACGTGACCTCGGTATTTAAGGTTTCATTCGAAGGACCCGAAACTTTCACTTCAAAGTGAGCGCATGGCGAAGGAACAGTTGCTATCCATTTTATATCGACTTAGGTCAGTCGTGGCCGAGATTTGAACTCACGACCTCCCGATCACGGAGCGATCACGGAAACTTTCTCTTGGTAAATCCTTTTCTACTGTAAATTGCTTTGAATTTATATCAGAGTATTATATACCTAATGGATATTTATGGATAGAGAATTAGGTCATATTAGGGATGGAAAACCTTAATTGAGGATTCATGAAAACGTTGTTATGAATGGAATATCAATCTTATTTTCTAGCACAAAATGCAAACACCCAAACCAGCGAAGAAATCTTTTCTCAGAGCTCAACAAGTCTGGTTGAAAGTAAGATGAAACGATATCTTGATAGAAAAAAAAGAAACAATTTTGAAGAACTGTTTAAGTAAAATACGTTAAAAGTAAAGTATAAACGTACACGTTATTAGTTAATAAGCTAATAAGTTTATAATACGCTTGAAAACTACAACAATCGCTTTAACCATTTATATTCGATATTCCCGTGTTTTTATCTCTATGTATAAAATAAATGGTTCCTTATCCAGATTAACAACAGAAAAAAAACTTGATCATGAGTTTGATCTATTTATAATGCTATGTATTAAACATTCTGAATGCTGATGATCCCATGAATATGTAAGTTATGTGCACTATATTTCAATCTTTTTTCAGCAAAAGTGACAAACACAGACTTACAGACCACAACAATGACAACAACCCAAGTTGAAGGTAAGACCAAATGGAACTTTTTTAAAGTAGCTTTAAAAATATAAAGTGAAACACGTTTCCTATGTAAGAAAAACTACAGAAAAACAATGTTCATAATGTGTATTGTACAACTGTATTACACGTATCAACGATGATGTTTATCATCTTTTATTCTCTTTCTAAAATTTTTGATGATCCTACAAATAACACAACCTATCAAATTCATTTGTATAACAATTTTATCAACATTTACTATACATTGAATTTTAAAAATCTTTCACAAAATTTTGATTTCTTTATGAATATGCTTAATATGAAAGTAATCTATTCCAAAATTAAACAAGATGTGTTTGTGAAACACTGATGCCCCTGTATGGCAACTTATAGCAAAGGTTAAATTTGCAAATGCAAATCAAATATGTTGGTACCCAAAGTAAGGTCTAGTCTCGAGGAATAAACCTGTCAAATATCAAAGACCTAGAAGCAATCATTGAATAGATATGGAAAAGTTTAAAGTTTTTTCAAAAGTATGTCAAACATCAAGACCAAGGTCAAATAGTCAAAATTAATGGTGCCCAAGGAAAGGCCTTCTCCCGAGAAATACACAGGTGAAGTATGAAAGTCGAAGCACCAATCGTTCAAAAGTTATGGCCAAGGTTAAAGTTTTTCAAAAGTAAGTCAAACTCCTATATCAAGGTTAAAAGGTCAAAGTTGTTGGTATCCAAAGGAAGGTCTTGTAACAAGGATTACACATGTGAAGTATGAAAGCCCCAGCACCAATTCTTCAAAAGTTTAAGCCAAGGTTAAAGTTTGATAAAATTTTGCAAAACTGGGTCAAACTCGAAGGTCAAGGTCAAAAGGTCAAATATGGTGGTACCCAAAGAAAGGTCTTATCACAAGGAATACACATGTGAAATATGAAAGCCATAGCTCCAACCAATCAAAAGTTATAAGCAAGGTTAAAGTTTTTGCGGACAAACAGAAAAACAGACAGACGGACGGACGGACAAGGCAAAAACTTCAATACGGGGGCATAAAAATATATACATTTTGTACACCAATATTTGATTTGTTCTCATACAACAACCTTTTGAACAAGTCAGGATGGCAGTGGTCAACCTCTCACTTTTCTGAGGCATAAACATTATATAATGTTAACATTAAATATGTGTTTGATTAAAAATGCTTTTGAACACAAATTTTCAGTTTTGTGTATTTGTAAATATAAATTGTTTATGCAATTTTTATGTTTTTGTGCATAAAAATTGTCAACAATAGCAAATGAAATGTATTTTAACTATATTTTTTTTTATTATTGCAAATAGCTTGTGAATGCCCTTGCAAGACATATCTTGCAGAAAATACAAAGGAACTACACCAAAAGATTAAGTCCCTTCAAGCCAAATTAAAGATTAACAAAGCCAAGTTGTCCAGCGGAATACGAAGTAAAACGTCAGCGTCCGACAATAGAACTACATCCGCGTTCATTGGTACTGCATTTGGTATCGGATTCATTGTAACATTTGTTTTATCCATTGTAATTAGTGATGTTTCAATTTTGATCAAGCATATTAAAGGGGGTTTGATGTGAGACAAATAGCTATACTGATATTTTGTAAAGGATGTCAAGATGTTTTATTTCGCATAAAATTTAGTAACAATTTACTAACACATTTAATATCCTCTAAAGATATTGATGATTTTTGTTTTGCTCGCAAACAAGTTATTTACACAGGTTAATTTACATACATGTATCTGTACATGTATATGCAAATGACTTGAACATTACAATGGTAGATAAATGCATAATTATCTTAGTCAACAACCATTATATTTTCTTCTGATTAATTTCAGATGTTCATTTATATTGCAAAATAAATTTAACAGATATCTTGGGAACATGCTTGAATGTAGTCACATACTTACATTTATACAGCAAAAAGTGTTCCATGTTTCAATTAGGTTTTTAAAGTGGGTAATGTAGCTTTGTGTCCATTGATTTGCATCTGGCTAGGGCAACGATACATATGTACACTGCACAAACATCTGAGCACATTGTCTTATTTCGATGTGTTTTTTTTTCTCTCTACTGAAGATCATATTTAGTAGTTTAAAATATATTTTTATGCCCCGTATCGAAGATTCGGGGGTAATAGTTTTTGCCCTGTCCGTCCGTCTGTCTGTCTGTTTGTCCACAAAAACTTTAACATTGCTTATAACTTTTGATTGGTTAAAGCTATGGCTTTTATGCTTCACATGTATATTTCATGTGACAAGTCCTTTCTTTGGGCACCATCATATTTGACCTTTTGATGTTAACCTTGGAGTTTGACCCAGTTCTGCAAAATTTTACCGAACTTTAACTTTGCCATAACTTTTGAACAATTGATGCTAGGGCTTTCATACTTCACATGCGTAATTCTTGTTACGAGACCTTTTCTGGATACCAACAACTTTGACCCTTTGACCTTGACCTAGGAGTATGACCTTCTTCTGAAAAACTTTAACCTTGGCCATTACTTTTGAACGATTGGTGCTACAGCTTTCATATTTCACATGCGTATTTCTTTGGAAAAGGCCTTTCCTTGGGCACCATTAATTTTGATCATTTGACCTTGACCTTGGAGTTTGACCTACTTTTGGAAAACTTTAACCTTGACCATAGCTTTTGAGCAGTAGATGCTAGAGCATTCATATTTAACATGTCTATTCCTCCTGACAAGACCTTCCTTTGGATAACAACAATTGTAATCGGTTGACCCTGACCTTGGAGTTTGACCTACTTTTGAAAAACTTTAACCTTGGCCATAACTTTTGAACGATTGGTGCCACGGCTTTCGTATTTCACATGCGTATTTCTCTCGAGAAGGCCGTTCCTTGGGCACCATTAATTTTGACCATTTGACCTTGATGTTTGACTTACTTTTGAAAAACTTTAACCATTTCCATATCTATTCAATGGTTGCTGCTAGGGCTTTCATATACCACAGGTATATTTCTCGAGACAAGACCTTACTGTGGGTACCAACATATTTGATTTGCATTTCAAAAAGTTTAACCTTTGCTATAAGTTGCCATAAGGGGCATCATTGTTTCACCAACACATCTTATTTGTTTATATTGATAGGTGTTGCTTTAAACATCTAACTCATATTGCACATATTGTACATGTATGTATCTTCTTTTTTTTCTCTCATTTGAATTCAGTTGTCAAAATATTTTATCCAAAAGTTAAAGTACATTGAGGGCGTCGTTGTAGGAAATATTTTGAAATGTAGACGAGGAAATATGCATTCAACACATCTTGATAAAACTTTGTTGTTTTAATTTAGGAAAAACCGTTACTTTCCTTCTAAAAATGATTTCATAATCAGTTTGTGAATAATTATATTTTAAAGTAAATTCCATCAGAAGCAAACTTTCATTCATTGCATTGTAGAAAAATCACTTCAATATTGACCAGGAAACTATATTTACATATGTTTTAAGCAGTATATTTATGTACATGTGTGTTAACAAGTGCAAAATTAATCTGAATCAAAATAAGTACTGGTATAATGGAGAAATCAAATTTATTGATTTGTAAAAATATACATGATTTTAAGCTTATGCGAACATTCAAATAAATCATGACCACATGTTCCCCAGTGTTTATGTGGATGCATTTTATCCCATGTAGTACTGGCAAATGCTTACTGGTTAGATATGTACATGTACAATTTAATTTTGTGAGCCATGCATTGTCTAACAAATTTCTTGTAACATTGAAATCATTCTTGATTTCCATTCTTATGTATATTTTTTTTTAAATATAAATATTAAATAAAACGAGAAATATCTTTCTTTTTTAATGGTTTCCTTTGTGCTTTTTTAAACATTCTTTTATACCATGAAGCAAGGAACATTGTAATGTCTAAAACATTTATTTTTAGACATCAATTAACCCGGATGTTGTTCTTCATTGACCACACAGATCTCTGAATAACTGTTATCAGCAAAATTACGATCTGTAAATGACTAAATGGGTCTTTATATCTTGTTGGATTTCGTGTAATGCTAGTGTTTATAAATGTTATTTAAAGAAGGATGGCGATCACCGATGTCACGAGAGAAATTATTCCTGCTGTTTTGAATGATGCGCTTCCAGGTGCTGTAAAAACAGATAAAGAGACAATTAACAAAAGAAAAAGAGAATATTTAAAGGCATCTCAAATTTTATACAGACGTCAGTTTTCATTGCAATATGAAATATAAAATGATTCTGAAACAAAATTTCTTCACATAAATAAGTATCTCATTTATAGCGCTTTAAACCTTATCCTGATCCCAAATTATATCAGAGGCACATTACTTATATTCTAGCAAATAATCTTGAATCTATATCGGAAAGTTTTCTTTGTGCCTTTCTTTCTTCCAGAGAGTATTTTATTTCTTGCCCAGTTTTTTTTCCATTAAATCTATCTTGCATAATATTATCTCTCTTTGGAAGGAGACATATAGCAGCTTAAATCCCGTAAGGTGATTTGTAAAGAAATATCGTGTTCTGAGGAGAAAGTCAAAAAGTACGTAATATGAAAAGACAGAGGACAACAGATTAACTTTGATAAAAAATTGTTTATTTGAGCTAAAATGGAAAGAAAAGTTTAGAATTAATCATACAAACCTTCTGTTCTCTCTGTTTGTGAAGGTTGGGAACTAGTAGTGGTTAATTTAGTAGATGACGTCACTGGTTTTGCTGTTGACGTCACAGGTGAGTATGTTGTAGTAGTAAATGGCGTTGTAGTAATTTTGGTAGTAAATTTAGTAGTTGTGATACTAGTTGTTACAGTGCTGGTAGTTTGCGCTTGCGTGTTAGTAGTCAGTAGCGGTTTAGGTGTTGTGGGGCGGGGTACTGAAATGACAATTTTTTTTGTCTATAGCAAGGTAGATCTCAGTTCAGGTACATGACGAACAACTCAAAATCCTGTACTTTTACCTGTACTCAGTGGCTATTTATGATCTATAAAAATTTAGTCAAATTGCATTATAGAGGAGTATTTTTTTTTATTAAGGATTTGAAAGTTTAGTAGAGTTTATAATATTTTTGTATAGGGTGAGTTAACCATGCATCGGACACATACCTTGCTTCGGACAACTTGAAGCAATAAACTTTCATTGAACCTGAGTCTCCCCGTGTTTTTACTTGTTTCTGTCTTAAAGGTGAAGATTTAAACTTTTTAATGATGCCGATTTTTATTTTCATGTTGTGATAAAAATACCATAAGAATGGCCTTGAAATTACGTCATATTTGGCATCATCAAAGGGGAGTAACCAGAAATTTACGATTTTGCAATTTTTAGAGTTGTCGTTCTTTTAAATAGACGTCAACGGAACGGGTCGGACCTAGGTATAATTGATAATTTTCAGAAATTTTCAAAAATTTTACTTCAATGTTTGTATAATATTTCTTAGTGTTGTTTTTAACTAGTATGTTTATTTCACCGTACATCGGACACAAATTAACCATGCATCGGACACTTTCCGATGCATGGGTAATCACTTCCATTTTCATATAAAACCCAAATGACACCTATTTTTTTTACGGAAATAGAAAATAAAAACTCTAAATTTTAAGTGAAAATACAAGATATCGATATATGACGACTAGAAGTGGACTCAATTTATTTCTTTAAACTAGATGATGATAACACACGAGACAAAGGCGCGAGTTGCCATATTACTTGCATTGTAAAGCCTTTCTAAGGCGATGTGATGCACCTAGAATCTCTTCACATTTGTGGATCGAAATAGTCATTCAAATTTAACTAGAAGTTTAATTTTTTTAATTAAAGATAAAAATGTTTCGATATCACTAATTTTAAAGTACCGAGATCAAGGTATGATATTTTTCTGGTTTAAATACCGTATGTCCGATGCATGGTGAATAGTGTCCGATCCATGGTGAATTCTGACGTATTTCGAAAAAATCGGGTTTTAATGATATTTTCTCTATAAATAGCACACGATTGTGTCAAAAATTTATATTTTAACCACATACTACATGTAAAGTTCCATTTTGATAATATTCGGTTGGTAGCGATATCGCTAGAACTTGTTGAAGTGCGAGGGTGTCCGATGCATGGTGAATTCACCCTACTTATACAGATTATTTAATAAAGACCACGGAGCCAATATTTCTTCAGACACAGAAAGGAAATTGTTAAAGGGCGAAGAGCTAACAATGTGTTCGACTATCCTAGGAAAGGGGGTTTAGTTTTGGAAATATTTCTTGCAATTTTTTGTTAGCAGAACTAAGTCTTATACTGTAATTCGCTTTTTATTCGCAAGAACTTAACATTTTCGCGTAATTACGAGAGTCTGCTTGCTCACGAAAATTTTATTTTCGCGTATATTTATTTTGTTAAGGATTATATACAACAGCTCGCGAAAATTTTATCTCGCTCATAAATATCAGATAGCTATTTCGCAAAAATAAAGTGTCGCGAGAATATAGTGATCTACAGTAATCAACCAATGTATTCCTCAGGCCTCATGTAGATTATGTTTAGTAGAAAATGTTATTTGAGATATCGAGCGTTAGCTTCAGATCGATGTAAACACTGTATGTGAATATTTTTTGGGTTAGATAGGGCAAGGCAAAACCTTTCCTATATTGTTATACGCTTGAGCCAAACCTGTTGTAATCGGCAGCTTGGCAGATGTGGAGCTCAGAGATAATGTCAAGGACATTGTGGTTGTTGTGGTGGGTGCTGAAATCCATCGTAACTAATTTGATTATTCAAAATTAATCTGGAAAGATCGCGTGCTCTCCTGGCTGTGAAGCAAGGCGTGTAGTAAACGTACATGCGTGTAGTAAAGGCGTGTAATAAACTAACATTAGTGCGTTACATGTAACTTTAATAATTAAAGAATTAAAATAATAATTATGCACATGAAAGTGATGTGGATAATGACGTTGATGATAAGGAGAGGATGATGGAATTGAAAGAATTGATGATCGAGAGGGGAAGAAAGCGAAAGAGGGGGAAATGGGGAAATGGCAAAACAGAGAAGAGACAAGAAATGAATTAACCTGAAGTTCATTTGCAAAAGATTATATGTGAATTATCAGCATTATGATTTTGTAAGTTATATACAATGCATGCTTGAAGAATAAGTATCATTTGTTCGACGTCCTTATACATGATGCTGTTTGAAAACTGGCGCTCTGAAAGTTTTTCAATACAAAACATCGCACCCATCAAGAGTGAACAAAGTTTACGGTTGAAACGGGAAAAACATAAACATGTGTGTAAATATCATTAATTATGTTACAGTCATGATCATCCCTGTTTATAGAGATGACATCAATTAAGAAATACGACCTATATGATTTTCTGTGTACAAGGCTAGGTACAGCCATGCATGTCAACCAGGCAGTCACTGAATGGCGATGTTGGGCCGCCTATTTTCGTTATCATTATGTACTTTATATATTAGTCATTCTGTTATGGGAAGTTTTTGTACATGGATGAACTTGCATGTTAAAAATGTGTACTGCTTGTGGTTTTCGATGATACTGACGTCATGAAATAGAATCATTAGTCTGACATACGCGTCTGATTATCAATAAATATTTTCATCTAATGAGCCATATCTATTAGTCAGAGTCCTTTGAAGAGGTGTGTACATGTACTGTGAGAAAATCGGATTGGTGAAATTTCTATTTGTAGTCGTAATTGTTTACATTCAATTTGGTTAGTCAAAGATATCTAATTTTAAAAAGAAAATCTGTGATAAAGCCAAATTTGTTTATAACTTTTAACGTGGATATTGTTTTGAATTAGAAAGGAAAACGGCTACATTTTTGTTTGTGGTGTTAAGTACGTTGTTTCATATCATGTTCTTTGTTAAATGTTTAGTAATTTCATATACTGTGGACATAATCGTGTATATTCAGCTATGAGAGGGGTAAGAGTACATTAACTGTAACAGAGTGTTAACGAGGAAACAGTTTGGAGGTCAAAGCTTAAATCACCAAAACACCATTTTTTAACACAATACACACCTTGAATCGCAGCCACTGAAGACAAAGATGCAACGAAGCGATACTTAAGATTTAAAAACAAGGCTTAAGCAAAAATAAAATAACTGTTTTGTAGCATGAAAAATTCTGTTGAATGTTTTAGAATTGGCAAGCTTAAAGCTGATAAAAGAATTACTGAAGCAATTTTATTTGAAAAGCGTTTTCTTACATAAGAAAATAACGCTGAAGACAAAAAGTTGTTAAAATAAATACATAAATAAATAAATAAATAAAAAAAAAAAAAAAAAAAAAAAAACTCACCACCAATAGGGCGCAGTTGTGCTGAATAGACACCGGGGTATATGGTTCGAAGATTCTGAACAACAGTAGCTCTGAAATAATCCATATTTTACATTGTAAGAATTCACCATTAGAAAACATTTCTAGATAGTCTTGATTGCACCCACTTTCTCTAAAAGTAAATTGTGCAGTAAAATGTATTTAATAAAATAATAAAACTGAGGAAATTTCGAAATTGAAAATCACCCTAAGCTTTGTATATGCTCTTTATTAAAACCAATTTTAATACATGCTTAAACTCATCAGTGTGATTTTAAAGAAATTGGCATTGTTTGTATTGAGGGGCTAAAGGGGAGCCTGATCGTACGTTGTTCTTTTTTATACTTACACAAATTGAACTTGCTCGCGCATTCCAGGTTCTGGTATCCAGGCAAATCGGACGATGTTTTTGTCATTGTTAGCCGTGTGGGTCAAGGTCAATCCATTCTGACATTGAATGACCTTAGAGTCTCCAGTTTGTAGCGGAATGAATTGACCCCATGACCTTTTTCCTCCATTTACGGTGCGAGCTTGGATGATAAATCCACGGAACAGTCCTCCCTGACCATTTATTGATACTGTCAATTAATATAAAATGTAAAAATTAAAATAGAATGCATATGTATGTTAAAGTAAATGACTTGAGTTTGAAAACAATTTGAAAACTAGGAGATCCTCGGAAAAATTCTCACCAACTTCCACACTTCCCACGAAATATCATGCATATTTCAAAGGTGTGTTTGTAATCGAAAATTTCATACATACAATCATTTATAATATTTATTATTAATTATTTATTATGCTATTATTTATGAAAAATATCTTAAATGACTATCGGGGTATACGATGCTACAAAAAGGTAATTTTGTGTCAAATTTAAAGTTAGAATAGGAAATAAACCAATGTCTAAATTGTTATTAAAAAATGTACATTTATCATTAATTAGTAATTTTAAGTGGGTCACAAGGCGAACATTTGTCCATGTAACATTCCTATGCATCATTTACCCGAGGCCAAAGCTCGAGGGCGAAATTGCATGTATAATCTTGCAAATGTCGCACCAGGACATATCAATCAAAAGATGTCTGATTATTCGGTTTTGGTGACAAAGCACATGATTTCATAAAATTTAAACTTCACGTATGGACTGAATGAAATATAAAATATATGATTAATCAAATAAAAGACTACATATGTAAAAAAAAAATGATAATGATAAAATAAAACGTTTTATATTTATTGCAAATTTTTGGGTTTTCTGTCATGATAGGTTCTTCCCTTTCTAGATTTTTTTTAAAAAACATAGCTTACTGCCGATGTAGCTTCTACCACATTTTTCGGGTGTATCGCAAAATCGGTAATACGATGTTGATAACGAAATTGTGAATGCTGATGGGTTATTTATGAACATTGGGTTTGGGTGGCGAGGAATTAGTTGCACGCATGCGTCGGGTGTATTCGGGGATCCTTGTGGAAAAGCGAATCCAGGAGAGAAAAATGAAAAAAGTAGAAAACTTCCATTTAAAATGCACATCAAACAATGTATTTTATCCATCTCAGAAATTTCCAAAGCTTTGAATCGAATATTTGATTCTGAATTCTTATTTCAGTCTGTGGAAATTCCGAAATTATGAATTCACAGTCACAGACGTACGCGCTTATTTTCGTATGAAACTTAGAGGATTTTGTAACTTTTAAAAATGTCCATTCAGTTATAAAAATAATCAATTCAATTCACTGTTTATATATTTATAAACAGATAAAATAATCACATATTTCTACCACAATAACAACAAAATCCATCAATAACAATTTTTCACCAATAAAATTGACCACTTTTTTGATAACACGCGTACGAATCCATAGAACCTTGTTTACGAGACTGGCGATTACTAGTAAGAGAATATTACCTCTGTCCCGCAAACACCCAAATTTGACCCGGAAGCTCGGCAGAATCTTGTAAGACACAAGTTTCGTGATGTAACTTTATAAAACATGACAAAATACAATCACTTTGTTGCTCAAAGAAGGCCCCGGGGATGATATGTGTATTCCTAGGTTTGTATTGACATTAATTCCCCATTACCAAACACATTAAATAGCCTCCTTACAACGAAATTAATTACATGTAACTGTTCTAAGTTGTTTACTTAGAAAATCTGTTTAAATCAAATTTAATTTAGGGGGGGAAAGACGAGGAAAAATTCAGTTCAGAGTACGCAGATTGGTTTCACGTACTTTTGTTTTTGTTGTTGTTTAACAAAATGACATACCGTGAATTATATTATTTATGTGTCTCCAAATATTTCCAGCTTGTTGTTACTTACTGGAAAAAAATATGCTTTCTGAATATTGATTTCTTAAGAAGCATTATTTTCTAATAACAGCAAATTATTATATACATGTAGATACACGTAATAATTTGCTTGAAAGTAAGATCCATGACTTTAGTTATAATAATTATATATTTTTTCAGCCAATTGATGAATTTGAACTTGTACACCCCCCCCCCCCCGAAATATTTAAAGCAAAGATACTTATGGCCAAGACCCCTTAATAAGAGTATAATGAGGTATTTTTTGTATGGAACGGTTGTTTTGAGATTTCTCCCGATTTTTCATCTGGTATACATGATAAATAAGTGTAATAAATATAATTTGTAAAAAATAAATAAAATAAAATAAATAAAAAAGAATCCAACAAGTTCTGGAGGGGACGGGGTTCATACATGTATATCGGGGGGGGGGGGGGGGGGGGGGTTCCTGTCCACAAGTACTTGTGGTTTAAAGCACAGAATATACATGTAAAAAGATAATGTGAGCAAATGTGCAATAAGCAGATTATTCGATATAAATTTGAAGAAAAATCGGCTCTTGAGCTACATTTATTATAAACAAGAACCTTTAGCGATCAGTGGAAAGATATTAACATTGCAATGTACGAGTTATTCTTCAAATCCTTTGTAAGCTTTTACGCAAAATTTAAAGAAGGACGAAAGCAATATGTATTCTACTTATCTTTGGTTCCAGCTTTTGAATCGTTAAAGGAGGAAAAAATCTTAATTCTAACGAAATTAAATGGATAAAAATTAGAAAGTTAAAAGTTTTTAAAAAAGATTCGTTCTTTTCAAAATAATGCAAAAGAAAAATAGACTAAAAAAATCTATACGATTATTCAACACAAAATATGAGTTTTCGGTTAAGCGTTAAATGCATTCATCTTTAAGAAATAAATATCAATTTATATTTAAAAAAAAACAAATGTGGTAAATGTTTCCACCATGATATTTTTCGTCTTTCTTTTTCCGTAGTTCTATATAGAAAGCAAGAAAATATAATTTCGTTTTATAATACCTTGTAGTGGTTGAAGGCCGCATTGTTGAGTTGTTGAACACGCCTGGTATTGTTGTTGACTGACCAATATCCGGTATGGTTTGGTTTTTCCCTGTTGGTTCTGAACTTGTTGTCTTGTCAACGGGTCAACGTGAATTGGCTGTAAATCGATGCAGGACTCGGTCCGAATTGGAGCGCCTTGTGGATAGGAGAAAACGGAATATTTACAACATAATATACAAAATATCGCCAAATAAAGGTAACTTCGAATCATTTTGATTAAGTCTGATTTTTTAGGGTCCTGATACTAATACTACAAAATTCGCCCTGTGTGCTTATCGAAATGATTTTCATCGAAATGAGAGAGATATTTAACTTTGAGTAGTTCCTCCCCCCTTTTACTCATAAATTAATTAATCACCGCATGTAGGGTAGTTCATCACCTTTTTCGCATGTTAATTATGAGTTGATTGACTTGTATCAAAATTTGATATATGATGACTGATTATTGATTTACTGTTTTGTAAAGAATTCATGTTTTCTGCACGGGGTGTGACGTTTATTGATTACATGCATGCATGTTCACCTGCATTCTCACTAGCTGATAGCAAGAATATTGAATTTGGCTACTTTAGCCATCTCAAAACATTCTTAGATTTTTAAATTGATTGTTTTTGTCTATTCAAAGCAGACTGTAGTACTTTTCTAACTGTGTTTGGAATAGGAATATTTTTTTTTAATTTGTTTATTTTATGAGCGATATTTAAATAAAGTACATCGAGAAAAATGTACTTCTTTTACACTCTGCTGCACTAGGTGAAAATCTGAATTAATTTTCTTCGAATATGCTACAATCGGCAATATACCTACAGATATTTTTCTAAGTTAAAAAGCGACCCTGTTGGCGATCTATTGCGAATAAGGTATGGAAACCCAGCTATAAATGTCAGCTATGGAAGAACGATAACTCGAATACAGAAACATTAATTTAAGTTCCCAGCTAAATATCCGAGCCTCAGGCCCATAAACTGAGAACAGCCTTAAGTCGAAATTTCGATTGCGATTTGTAATTCATTTTCGTATTGAAGAAATTGCAGGTCTGTATGTTTAAATACAAACGCATGTTGACAAATTTGTTTAATTATCAGCAGACATGCTAAAGAAAATTTCCTAAGATGTATTTTAAGACGTGTCTTAGGATATTACTTAGGACATACATGTATCTTAGGACTATCCTAAGATACGTCTTAGGGTGTAAAACTAAAGGTATCTTAGGAATATCTAGTTGAAATGTCGTAAAATGTCGTAAATTTCATTTCAAGCAGTTCTCCTTTTTTTTTTAAAAACAAATATTACATGTTCCTATGTTCATATGGTATCATATGCATGCACGGCTGAAATGGGTGGGTGGGTGGTTGGGGGAGTCATTGGGTTCAGTCCCAAGGGATTTTTTGGAGTTATTAAAAGTATAAAGAATATAAACTATAACCCCCTACAAAACATGGACCCCTGGCAATGGCAAGTAAAGTCATATACATCAAAGGCGGATCCAGGTCCGGCACGCCCCCCCCCCCCCTCCATTTTGAATTTTTTGTATGTAGAACTTATATGTTCATTATCCTAAAATCAAGGAAAAACATCTCTTATTTGTAAGAATTCGTCAGCTTCCCGGACCCCCAGCAGGACTTTGCCCTTTGGTGATGGGGTCCACGTTTTCTAGGGGTCAATGTCATTTTTTATTTGCTTCAGTATATACTTTTAATAACTCTGCAAATTCCAGGGGGTTCCGGACCCCCCACCCTCCTCTAGATCAGCGCATGAATGAAACCTAGAACATTATATTTATCATAAACATATAGAGACCAAAATTAAAAAAAAAGTTCAAATTAATAATTAGGTGTATTTTCATACCATAATGTCTTGTTGTTTGTCTCCATATGATCAACTGGAATCTCTCTAGGACGTAACGACGAAAAGTGACCCCCGTAGGAAATTGACCGGGGATCATTCGTCTATGTAGAAATTTGTCCCCCTGGTTCAATATTCTACGTAGAAAAATGACCCATTTTTTGTAGAAATTATGGCCTTGGGGTCATTTTTCTCTATGTTGTTTGTAGAAAAATGACCCTGTAGAATAATGACCCTGTGCCATTTTTTGATACCAGAAAAAAAAAAACTTGGTTTTGGTAGGAAAATTCTTGTTAGGCAAATACACAGGGGATAAATCACGCAGCCTTATGATATGAAGTGTTCATTTCTAAAAGCTTTAAGTTAATACTATACTTAACATTAATAATACAAGATGTTTTATCCCCATTAAAGGAAAGCCTAACAAGCTTTAAGGCTATAATAATGTTCTATCATTATTAGAGCAAGAATACATGTACGTATATTCTTTGATTTGTTTTATCACATTTAATAAACTGAATTAAGATCATTTTCTTAGTCGGTGTAAGAAAGAGACACGTATAAATAAAAAATGCATTGCTTCCATAATTGTAATCCTCTTTAATTTTACTCTGGGAAAATAATGTGCAACAAATAAAAATATAGCCCTCTTTTTTTCTTTAGGAGTTATAAGAAAGGTTAACGTTTTGGAACCCCACCCAAATAAATTTGCGTGAAAAAAATGGAAGATTGATAAGAAAATCCGATCTCGTAAATATCTTTGATTTTCTATGAATGAAGTCTCAAACTTTTTCTCATAAAAATATAGGGAAGATTATATTTGTGAAATGTTAAAATAACACAGAACTAAATCAACATGCCTCTGACCTTCGATATCAGGGGTACAAAAAGTGATTAGCTTAAATTCTTTACCAATGTCAACAAAGTCTTTTAAAATGAGTCTTTTTACATAAGAAAAAATTGATTGCTTAAAAAAAGAGGTGTTTGGTATACTAAGAATTGACAAAAGTTTACACACGGTAGTATCGTCTTTTCCCTTTCTAGTTAAATGTAAAAAAAAATTACCAATAGAAAAAACAGAATGTTGCATTATGAAAAAAAAGCTTCTCAGCCTAATTTGCATAATTTTTTCCAGAGTATGATTGGCAATATTAGCACATTTGAACTTGCGTGTGCAAAAAAATATAGAACTGTACAAAAAAGTATTGTAACACATTGTGTTAGAATCAAGTACAGTGTACAATTTGCGATTCGTATAAGCGTACCTATAGTGGCGAGATTTGAAGGGGTTACGGGGTTGTAACCAACTCTTTAAACTTGTTAGTAGCCTATAGCTATAGGAGAAAAAAAAATCCTTTCTGCCCATGTACG